TGATGACACCATGCCCCGGTAGAATCATGAGACATACTAATTTGAAAGTGTTGAATAATCGGACCGAATTTGACGTCTACGTTTGAAGGCAGCTGGCGTTTGCTGAAATACATTTTGAAATGAAATGGTAAAGTTGAGTCGAAATACAGTATTCTAAATATGCGTGGCCGTACGTTCTGTCATCTAATTTGCTGAGATAGCTCCTAGAGTTTATCTAAAATGAAAAAAGGCAGATTTTGCTGATGAGAGACACATTTCCGTTAAATTTGTTCCTCTCCCGAATTGGTTAAGTATAAACGCTTATTTCTGTTAATCACACAAGGAAAATACAAATGTCGTGTAGAGACAGAGTGACGAGGTAAGATAATGCAAACTGAGCACTAACCAATTTTTGCACCATAATGGATGATATCTTGTTTAGTTGATAAAGATAGTCCCAGACTTACCCACGAAGGAGCTTTGATATCTATTAAATATCTTCTTCAAACATTTCATTTCCATTAAGCATTTCAGTTACGGGTGTGTTGCGAATGCGTATTCATATCGTAGAGACAGAAGACAAATAGTATGACCTTAAAGACTACGACCGTCAAATTTGCCCTCTTTTGTTTCACTGGTCGACTATGCTGTTCCCGCAACTCCCGGTGACAAAACTGGTATCAAAAATCGGACCCTTCACGTTGCTTCAAACTTAACACGAAAGCTGGCGAAGTTGAACAAATTGCAGATGGAGAGTCTGGATAGGAAGGAAACTTGTGCAAAACGCTAGCACAGATAGGGTAATGCGTAAGATACGTTTTTGATTTTTAACAAGTGAGCGTCGCCTGGCGAAATGCTCCCACGTTAAAAACATATTTTTCTCATTTTGAAACTTCCTGGATGTTAACACAGGAAAACGCTTTGGGGATCCTTATCTCCAGATAAATTTAAGAACTTTAAAAAAAAATCGTATAAAGTTATATTGTTTGAGCCCAATGAATAAATTATATCTGCGATGATCCAGTTTTGTCTCGATACAGAGTTATCGTAGACAG